TAGCTCTCTGTGTTCTTAGGAACTCTTTTGCTATTGTGGTGTGCTGCAAGGAAGAACATAAGTATGTGCACGCATTCTGATCTGCCCACACAGAGGGGAACTGCATGTGTTGAAGGAAAAGAAATCGTACTTGCAGGAGGCATTTATGTCACATCTAACACCACCCTAGACCTGTATATTTAAAAAAAAAAATGAATCACACTTGTTTTAGTGTGACATGCTCCCGACACATGAACATAGGATTCCAGTGTTGTTGTTTTCCAGAACATATGATGAGCCCCTGTGATCACCCAGTCCTGGTTAGTTAACCAGGCAGCATTATGAGGCAAGAGGATGATCCAGTAACATTTTCCAGTGAAGTCTTTACATATTTGTACATGAAAATTCCATAGTATAATCAGGTTACATCCTTGTATCACCATTTTGTTTCTTCAACCAGTTCTGGAGATTGCAAGGAACAAATTAAATTAAATGAAACAATTATCTGAGTATGGTGGGAAACATGTTTGTGTGAATGTCCTCAGATCCTGTATGAATGTAAAAGTAGTCCAGCACTACTTCATGCACTCCCCTTTTATGCACATGAGTATACACAGAAACTTTTTATACCGAAAATCAGGATCCATTGAAGGTTGGTGGAAAAGGGTATGGAGCCTGTGGTTAATGGGAAAACTTTCCTCTACAATGAGATTTTGTAACACTTTCAAAATAGGACACATTTTATGAGGATTGGAGGCTCTTTATTGAATTTGTAAATGAACCTTCACACCACCTCTAACCTCCAGACTCTCACAACAACCAGTCTGGAAGGACACTTTACAAAAGCAAAGCAAAGCAGCTTCATTTATATACCGCTTCATACCGCGCTATGCAGTGTCTAAACAGTTTACAACTGTAAGCTCATTACTCCTCAACAGCTGGGTACTCATTATAGCGACCTCGGAAGGATACAGGCCTGAGTCAAGCCTGAGCCCTGACTAGTATTGAACTCACAACCTTGTGGTTTATGAGTGAGTGGCGGCATTACAAGCATTTAACCACTGCACCACCAGGGTTCCTTGCGTCACCAGGACTCTTCAACTCAATGCAAAGACTGAACTGACTCCAGATGAATCACATCCATGGAACCCTGAAACAAATGATCACTACATAACATCACATCCTATGGTTATTGTTCTGTTTGTCCTCATGTTCCACTGTAATGTTTGACTACCTTATAAAGACTTGAAAATCAATAAAAATATTTTTTAAAAAAATCAAGATCCATTTTTCAAATGTCACTATTTTGGTATTCAAATAAATAAAGCCCAAAGACTGATTTTAAATAAACACCTAACTGACTGGAAGAAAGCCATTTCAGTATTTAAAGGGCACCTGACATAATATTTTTGTTACACTCTGGTCATAGCATTTTCAACCTTTTCTTAATTATATTGAACCCCAAAATGAACTATACTCTGTTCAGTATAAACATGTAAAGTATTGTACCAGACTAATTTTGTTACTGTTAAACTGAATGGCTTTTATATAGAATGCTCTGGGGATAGTAACTATAGCTAAGTGTGGCATGATGATTTGTCCCCATGTTTTTCATTGTTCTTCTTCTATAAAGAAAATCTAAAATACAAAATGAATAGCATCCTATTTAAAAGTCATCCTCCATGGATTTTCTTTATATTTCACCCAAAGGAGAAAATCCTGAGTGCATCAAATGCACGCACATTCTACCTGATCCATATTCATAACTTTTCCCCTTACTGTGACTGATTTATTCCTCTTTGTGCCCTCAGAGAGTTCATAATCCAAAATAAAGGCAGCCCAAGTAGAAACTATGTCCCTCTTAAGTAAAGAATTGAAGGGAGGATCAAGCCAAGCTATTCAGAGATGAGACTAATTGTGTAGGAATATTTTGTTATGCATCACATACCTTGGGCTCCCAAACATTAGTTCAGTCCTGAGCATCAGTTGAAAAAGAAAAGTACATTCATTAAAAAGATAGTCTGCCTGGAAGCAATAGCTGTCTGCTTTGAATAAAACCATGCTGTGAAATGTGATCTTTGGTGGCTGCATATTGTTTCAGTCATTCTATGAATTTATCTGCCATTGTTTTCATTATTTATAAAGTGCCATAAGTGCACAGCAATTGGGGTTGCCAGATGGCCCTATTATAACAGCCCTGAAGGTCTCTGCGATGTCTTTGAATGGAGTGTGGGACATGAACCTGGATAACTTTTGAGTTCAGATCCTGACAGCAGCTGTGATAGAATTCTCACCCACAATCTCCTACATCTGTGGTGAAGGAGAGGGGGGAAATAGAGTAACCCACACATTTGCTTCTCCTAAACTCCTTTGAGGCAGAGCAGATTAAAATGTGTGGGTGGATGCATTTGCACAACATTTGCTTTTTCCTTAAAAATTAGACCCAAGGTGGCTCATAGTAAGAATCATAAAACATTGTTAAAATGTAAGACATGCTTATACGTTAAAACACAGTTAAGCAGAAATTGATAAAAGACAAAGAACATCAACCAAAAAAAATTCTAGCACATAGTTAAATGCCACTTCCTCAGAAATTGGTTGCTTCCCAGCAAGGGTGCATCTACACTGTAGAAATGATGCAGTTTGATTCCATGTTAAGTGCCCTGGCTCCACACTACAGAATCCTGGGATTTGTAGTTTTGTGAGCCAGCATGTCAGTGCTTTGAGTGTTGGACTGTGACTCTAGAGACCAGGGTTTGTTTCCCAGCTTGGCCATGAAACCCACTGGGTAACCTTAGGCAAGTCACATGTTCTCAGTCTCAGGGGAAAGCAATGGCAAACCTCCTCTGAACAAATCTTGCCAAGAAAACCTTGCCTTAGGGTCACCATAAGTAGGAAATGACTTGAAGGCACACAACAACAGAGGCACCAGCACTCTTTGACAGAAAAGGTTAAAGGCTTTGTACAACTACAAATCTCTGGATTCTATAGGATGGAGCTGTAGTATCCAACTGCATTATTTCTACAGTGTAGATGCATGCAAAGTCTGCCTGAAAAAAGCCAGTCTTTGCCTGAAAGCAGGAGGACACTAGGGAGAGGTCAGCCTGATATCCCTTGGAAGGGAGTTCCACTGTCTAGGACAGGGGTAGGCAACCTTTCCCCTTTAAGGGCCAAGGGACTTCAGCTCCCAGAAGCCTCAGCCATGTTGGCCAATAGCTCCTGGGATTCTGGGAGCTGAAGTCCCTCGGCCCTTAAAGGGGAAAGGTTGCCTACCCCTGGTCTAGGAACAGCCACTAAGAAGGCCCTCTTCATACTTGTCCTGTCTCTAAGAGTTGTGGGATCAAGAGTGTGTACTGTGATAGATGGCCCTTAATATAGTGTAAGTGAGCTATTAAATTCATAAAGAGATCATAGAATCATAGAATCATAGAATCATAGAGTTGGAAGAGACCACAAGGGCCATCCAGTCCAACCCCCCTGCCATGCAGGAACTCCCAATCAAAGCATCCCCGACAGATGGCCATCCAGCCGCTGCTTAAAGACCTCCAAGGAAGAAGACTCCACTACTCTCCGAGGGAGCGTGTTCCACTGTCAAACAGCCCTTACTGTCAGGAAGATGAGATGAGACAGGCGACAGGTCTAGGTCTGAGTGGGTAAACTCATGGGGACTAGGGCCAATTTTTCATCCCCACCACCTCATGTTTCAAAATGCCTTGTTTTCCTTCTGTTGTTGTTGTATGCCATGAAGTCATTTCTGACTTATGGCAACCCTATCATGGGGTTTTCTTGGCATGTTTTGTTCAGAGGGGGGTTGCCATTGCCATCCTCTGAGCCTGAGAGAGTGTGACTTACGCAAGGTAACCCAGTGGGTTTCCATGACCAAGCAGGAAATCAAACCCTGGTCTCCAAAGCCATAGTCCAAGACTCAAATCACTACACCACTCTGGGTTACTCTTCCTCCTCCAACACAGCAACTGGGATATCACCATTTTGAAGTAGAAACAGAGGGGGAAAGTTTTAGAGAGGTGGCACAGGGTTTTGAGGGCAAATTCGGGGATCAGGAGTTGCATTTGGGGGCTTTGGGTATGATGCTGGGGCAATTGTCACTCAAAAAAAACTTGTTGTAGATTTGGGAGGTTTGTTAGCTAAGACATGATTTGAAATTAGCTAAGACATGACTTGAACTATTATAGAAAGGGTGTATACTCATCCCTCCACATTTGTGGATTTGACTTTTGCGGATTTGATTATTCACGGATTTTATTAATATGTTCTTTCTAGGAATATCTAGGTCCTCCAGCACAAAGCTGTGGTCAACTTTAGCCAAAAGGTACACTGAAGGGCCTAGAGATTCCTAGAGAGAACACTTCACGAGGCATTTGTAGCTTCTCCAGTGCAATTCTGTGGTCAATGTCTGGCAGAAGCTGACCACAGAGTTGCACTGGAGGACCTAGAGATTCTTAGAGATGTGTTTCTTCAGGTAAAAACAAAGTGTTTTTGTTATTCAGGGTTTTCCCACATTCACAGGGGTCCTGTGCACCCAACCCCAGCAAATGTGGAGGGACGAGTATATATATAGTAGTAGATGCTTGGTTTTTAATGGAAACAAATCTGGGCAGTTCAGGGGCATGAGTGGTAGGGGGTTTCAGAGGCCACAAAAGTAGGGTGTGAGGTATACATGTGGCCCATGGAATATACTTTCCCCACTCCTGATCTAGCAAGATAGAAGACCTCTCTCTCCCCATCCATCACTTCCATGTGAGTTAAACACTTCTCAGAGAGCCCACATTGATGCTCTGTGGATTTGTGAGTTGACTGCATGCTTTTTTGGCTCATCATCCCAAATTGGTTTGGAGATGGAGTGAGCTTTGAAACAACTGCTGCTTTTCTTGCACATAATGTTAGGAGCAGGAGCAGTAAATGGATGAGTGAATAGGTAAGACAGAGTGTAGCACTTCCTCTTCTAGGAGGAAGAGAGAGAGAGAGAGAGAGAGAGAGGTAGAATACAAAGGAACCGGTGAGCCAATGTGGTGTAGTGGTTTGAGCATTGGACTAGGACTCTGGAGACCATGGTTCGAATCCCAGATGGGCCATGGAAATCCTCTGGATGACCTAGGAAAAGTCACACTCTCTCAGCCTCAGAGGATGGCAATGGCAAAACCCCTCTGAAGAAACTTGCTAAGAAAACCTCGTGATAGGGTCCCCATAAGTCAGAAACATCCCCATAAATTGAAAGGCAAGCAGCAACAACAAGCAAGGGAACAGACAGAAAATAAAGAGGTTTGTGGATTATCTCCAGTTTTCCCACATATCCTTCCAGTCAGGATTGTGCTGCATGCATACAGTTGCATGTAAGGATATCTCTATAATTAGGACTATAATTCCAAGATTCCCCTAGTCACTGGGACTTGTAGTCCAAAAAAGTAAAATTGTCATGCTCTCCTTATAAGACACTCCACTGCTGAAGAAAAAAGATGATAAAAGTAAAGTTCACCTGGCGTTTTCACATTTCAAAGGATGGAGAACCATTACCTGAGCTCTGTTGTGTCCTGTAATTATTTGTTTTTTAACACGCTGACCTGACAGCACTAACTTTGGGGTCCGTACAGTCTTCCAAACCCACCCTCCAAATCGAGAAGGGCCTGTCTGCTTGACTCTTTGAAAGAGAGTTGTTTGGCCTATGCAAGTTGTGTGTTGCATTGCCCTTTTTGCTCTCCTCACCCTCCCCTTTCCGGAAAGCCCTCTGCTATGTCTCTCTAGGCTGGAAACAACGGCAGGACAAATTGCTTTGACAGAGTCAGCAAAGTGAACAGGATGGTGTGGGCTTTTCTGCTTGGCCCGGATTCCAGATGCCACACTGGGTGGGACAGAGAGAGTGCAAGAGAGAGCTTGAACGGTGCAGCCCTTGACAAGTCTCTCGCACGTGCGCGTGTCAGGGAGCATGAACCTTGTGAAAGGCTCTGCACAGGTGTTGAGGATCAGCAGCAGTTCATTAAGAAAGGAGGCAAGAAGAGAGAGAGCTGGCTGCTCCATCCAGGCTATTGTTACGAGCTCCTGACAGCTGAGCGCAGCCCCTTCTCTGGTCACAGTAGTGGCTCATGCTGAGCAAGGCTCATTAAATATTCAATTCCAGCCTCAAGCAGCTCATTAAGGCAGCAATGAGCCAGTGACGCAGCTTGGGCTTCTGCTGCTCTTGGAAAACCCTGCCTTGCTTAGCATCACCATGCAGAGGCTCACTGGATCTCTGGATGCTCTCCTCCTCAGTGCCTTCTCTGTGATGACCAGCTTGTGCTCTCTCCTTTGCATTAAGTACAGGTAAAATAATAATAATAATAATTAATAGTAGTAGTAGTAGTGATCAGAAGTTCTTAGATGCAGATGCTCGGGAAGCACTGGTGGGCTGCTTCCATTTGTTCCCTGGACTTTCTGGAATCCCTTTTTGGGAATGGAGCAGAGTTGACATCCTTTACTGGCACTCTACTTAGCAACATCTGTGATTCTGCTGGTTTTGCAGGAGGAGGAGTCTGGGAGAGGGATTGCACAGCGGCACAGAGTTTAATGAGACAAAGTTGTTTCTTGTTGAGGCTGTAACTTTCCGGAGGGGAAGCAGCGTGCCAGCTGTGTGTATTCTTCTCTCCACGCAGTCCATTCTTTAACCTGGCATTAAGTGATGCACTTGTACTCAAGATGAAACACATCCATTTGGGGTTGCTGTTTTAATTCTCTCTGGAGAAAGGCTGCTGTTCTTGAGTAGAAATAATTGACACTCACTGTTTACTTTTCAAGTCTGCACTAGAGTTGGTCACAAGTTTCAGCTGCTGAACTTCCTGAACAATTGTGTATTTAAGAACTGTGTGTTTAAGAACAGATAAAAACAGTGTGTTTAATACCAGATAAGAAATAAAACTAAATGAGCTGCTTGTTTTGTTGTGCAAGTTTGCAGTACATGTTAGTATCTAGTTGAGGGTCACTGGCATCACCAAGGTATTAATGTATCTTTATGTGTGGTTGTGGACAGAGAAAGCACACACTATTCCTCTTTTGTTAAATAAGCTCAGCATGGTCAAAAATTATCAGAAGAGCCCTGAAAGAACTGATGACATTTCTCTTCCCTTCACAGAAAATGTTTCCAAACAGCTCACTTCTACGTGGAAGACAGCAGTTCACCTCGAGTGGTGCCAAACGAAACCATTCCCATTATTCCCATTCCAGGTAAGAAAGGCCCAGCCTCTTAATTGATTCAGAGGCAAAAATCAGAACTGATGTGCAAAACTGTAATTTTTACTATATGCTCTGTGGCAATATGTGAACTGTTTCTCACAATAACTGGCCTCTTTGTGCTTTTAAATATTCTGTGTTTTGCAATAATATTTGTCTTTCATTTTAAAATGGTGTGTTAGTGTGGGGAGAGAGAGAGAAACCGAGAGAGAAAGAGAACTACAATGTTATTTGTGTCTGGATGAGACAGATAAGTTTGATAGCTTCACAGAGGGAACTCCCACATGTCTTAAAGACAGCAGTCCACTAAGCATATGAACAATAAAACTTTTTTTTATCTTTAAGATGCCACAAGACTCTGTTGCTGTCCACTAACATTTTCCATCCCCCTCAAGTTTCTACGTATCTTATATGCCTCCTATTTTCTGGGATTCATTACCTTGCCACTAAATGGTCCATAACTCTTCTTCTTGTTCACAACAGCTCAAATACCAGATCTTCACCAGCCTGCAGCAACTAAGAAATGGAGGTGTGAGGCACAACTCCATGCATGTTTGCTTAGAAGTCCTATTAAGCTTGGTGGAACTTCAGTGTGGGTTTCAGTTTATCATGCTGTGACCTGTCTAAAAAAGAAGTGTATTCTTTTCTATATAGGGTGAAAATAGGGAGCTCTGCTGGCACAGCGGTTAAACACCTATACTGCAGTCAGTCACTCACAAACAGCCAGGGGCTCTGGGTTGACTCAGCCTGGCATCCTTCCGTGCTTAAGGGAGTGCTTAAGTGTACTGAAAAGTGGTATAGAAATATACTTGCTATATATAGAAATAGAAATATAGAAATATATAAATATAGTGGTATAGAAATATACTATTGCTATATATGTGATAGCTTTCTATAGTAAAGCCCTAAAAAACCCTTGTGGCCAGCACCAGGTCCCATGTGATCTTGGAAACTAAGCAGGGCTAGCCCTGATTGGTATCACCATAAGTCAACTGGTGGCTTGAAGGCACACTCAAACATGCTTAGAGTTTCTGGCAGAGTAGATGTGGTTTGATTTTAGAAATCAGATGGGCGGCCCTGGGCGGGGATGCAGATGGGCGGCCCTGGGCAGCCCTGGGAAGCAGAGGATTGGGGCCGCTGCTACTACATGCAGCAGCCCTGATTCTCCCGTTTGCCAGCCCGGAAAAGAGCAGCAAAATGCCACTCCTTTCAGAGCTGGCAAATAGGGCGCCCAAAGAGCAGCCGCACAGCTCTTCTGCACCCCTTCCAGCACAGTGCGTCAAGACACTGCGCTGGGAGGACGTCCTGACAACATACACCATGTATAACCGCGTGCACTGTGATGACATCCTCAGCCTGGGGTTGGGGCACCCAGCATGTGGCTGCCCCTCCCCATCCCTGTCTCCCTGTAGCTCTGATAGTTTAAGGGCTGTCTGTAGAGGCCCTTAAACTGTAGCTCTGATAGTTTAAGGGCTGTCTGTAGAGGCCCTTAAACTATCAGAGCTACTCACCAGCTGTCTTATACTTGTTAATTCCATAATATGTAGTAATTCTATAAAGAACGATTCTCAGAAGTAAATGTGAAAAAATTGGTATTCTGTTTTGCAGATGCTGAGATCTGTGGTGCTCCAGATTTTTTGTATTTCAAGTTGCAGAAGTCTTAGCCAGTGTAGTCAGTGAGCAGATATTTTGGAGTGCTGAATTTCAAAATAAGTGGAGGTCCCAAGATTAAGAACCACTAATCTTCCATGCTTTTTATCACATGCTTTTTACTCTTGGTGGCAATGAAACCTAAAGACTTCTTAGGGCGTTTGCAGACTGCCAGAAATAGTGCAAATTGAGTCCACTTTAAGCATTAGGGTTAATGCTAGGGAATCATGGGAATTGTTTTTTTTTTTCTGAGACATTGAGCCTTCTCTGTCAGAGAGCTCTGGTACCACAATAAAATACAGTTCCCATGATTCCCTACCCTAACCCTTAAAGTGAACTCAGTTTGCACTATTTCTAGCAGTCTGCAAAAGCCCTTAGAAAGGAAGTCTATAAAGGCTATTACAGTACAGTTACATTCCTTTAATTTCTGTGTGCATTGGGATCATTTTAGTCAGGTATGCCCATGGTTTGAGGTTTAGGATGTTTCATAGATAAGAACTTGGGAGGATACAGTGCATCCACCTGCAAGGCACAAAGTTTGCCACTCTCCTTGCAGTTAACAATGGCAATGAGAAATTTAGTCTTCCACAACACGAGTCAAAGATCACATGTTGCCATCAGTTCAAAGGGTCTCCCACAGAGCTGACCAAACCCTAAGCCCACTTGGGTGTTAGTCAACTTACATGCCAGCTGAGACCACCAGTCCATGTAGCTCAGTATTGTCTTCACTGCCTGGTGGTTGCTCTCCATGGTGTCAGGCAGGAGGCTTTCCCAGACTGTCTCCTCTTAAATCTTTGGAAGGACTTTGTAAATCTGTGGTGATGTTAAGGTTGAAGCTTGGCTTGATGGCACGCAAAGCTCTTGGTCTCCTGCTAAGAACAGTGTTTCTTCTGGTTTGGTTTTGTTTTCTTCCTGAATCTATTTTAAGCTTAACAAGTGGAACTGTTTTACACTAAGAATATGTCCAAGGCATGAACACAAGTTACCATGGTTATCTAACAATATTGTATAAAATAAAAGTGGACAACTTCAGGCTTTTTTTTTTATGGCCTAAAGGCTTTCAGTGGAACCATGATCCTGCTCAGCTGACATGACTCCTGATATTCATGGTGATATTTATAAGGTGATCTTTTCTGCAGAAAAGTAATTTGAAATGTGTTATATATGTCTTTTCCAAGAGTGATCTATAAGGTGATCTTTTCTGCAGAAAAGTAATTTGAAATG